TGTTGATAGCGATTGTATAACAGTTGAGTTTTTGAATGAAGCCAAATGATCGGGGATTCCAAACCACAAGTAGTCTTAAAAATGGGGGTACAAATTATGTTATTAAAAAACATTGAGCAAACATCTGGACTATGTAATTGTACAAGATTAATTGTTGACAAACTGCGAAAGAATGTTATCAGTGTTATTGTGGTTTTGAGAAATTGAGTGGGGATCCACATGAATTTGGTACCATCTGATTTATGCTATCTTTGAAGTTCGAGAGAGGACAATTTTCAATAGCCTTATGTTTTGCTATGACTATCAACAAAAGTTATAGTCAAATATTTTCATTTGTTGGATTATTTTTCACCAAATCCGTGTTCACTCATAGTTGGCTTTATGTTGTTGTTTCGCAAGCGAAGACAAAGACATAATTAAAAATATTAGTCCTAGATGACAATGGAAACTCTTGCAACCATACTAAAGATGTTACACACAATGAATTCTTTCAGAAAATTTAGAATTAAATTTTGTTGTTGTGTACACATTCAATTACTCAAATATTATTTATTCCACTTTTTTTGTCTCCTTGAAAATCATGCGAGAAGTATATTTTCTTTATTGCAGAAAAAATATTGTATTAAGAAAATTTTTAGAATCAACAAAAATTTCGCTCGATTCCGTGCATCGCACGGGTCAAAATACTAGTTGTTGGTAAATTAATAAGCATAAACGTTATATCGAAATAGCAGTCATTCGAGGGACATCTTATAAAATATTTTTAAAAAACCTTACATTCTTTTATGAGGAATTTACTTAAATAGCACTAAAGCATAATAATTTTCCCTAAATAGCACCACATGTGTTTTTCTTTCCAATGCAGCAATTTTAGTCATTATGCATTAGTCATTATTCAAGCAAATATTTGCCATCATTGGACATTGTTAAGTACTATTTAGGGAATAAAACAGTTTAAATGCTAAAATACTAAATACACACCGTTAACTAAATACACTCCGTGATATAATCTTATTTTATTATGAAAATAAGTAATACTCCATATAAACTTTATTAATCTAAAAAAACATTGTATTTAAAATTTTAAAACTACCAACCAGTTACCTCATTTTATTACTTTGTACTTTTCAAAAAAATATAAATTATAATTTTATTTTTAAAAATTTGTCATCTCAGATTTTATTTTTTATTAACTAAGATAAATTTTATTATTAATATTATTACATTTAATGTCCATTAATTTTGTATAACATTTTCGATTTTTTAAGTATTATACCAATATGCATTTCATTATTCTAATTTTTTATTCTACACAATTATCTTATTATTTTTAAAAGAAGGTTATGCAAGATTTATTATTTCAAAAACAACGCTTTATATAAAACTTTAAAGCAAATCATTATAAAAAATTACGACTTTTATTTAAAAACAGAAATCATATATAATAATTTAAAAATATTTATAACATGCATATCGTATGTTTACTAGAAAACAGTATAAATAAAATTATACTCTGTATTTTAATTCAAAATTTAATTTTATCAAAATATTAAAAAATTTAGAATTCTATGAAGTCGTGTGGAACACAGAATAAAAAGTATTTTAGAAAGTGCTGGAGCGATATTAGTGTCAGGGTGAGTTTAGTATTTTGGTGGGGCATCATAAATAAAAACATACCCGATGTATTTGTTATTCACTGCATTCTAAAATTTTTTTTTCATTTTGATTTACAATATTTAGTTGAAATTATTTTCAATTTTATTTTTTTGATTATATGTTTAAAATTAAGAGTAAAATTCATAAATAGTCTCTGATTATATGTAGTTTTTCATATTTAGTTTCCAATTATAATATATTCCATAAACGGTCCTCAATTTTTAATTTTTTTCTTCAAATAGTCCTTTTTCACCAAAAATGACAAAATATTTTTTTTCCACATGTAGTCCTTGAAGGATCAATTAAGGAAAAGTTTTCAAAAATTAAGGATCGTTTATGAAGTACGAAGTATCTTATAATTAGGGACTAAATATGAAAAACTATCTGTATTTGGAGATCATTTATGAAATTTACTCTAAAATTAAAACTAAAGAGGTATGAGGTAATATGACTATAATATTATATTCCATATCAAATAACTAACATAAATATGTAAGAAAAATGATTAATGTTTAACAAAGAGAATAGTAACCAGAAAGACAGTTTTAGGTTAGAGAGAGTATCATTGTACACTATTATTTTCTTAATTTTTTACGGAGTATTAAGGTGCCTGAAATAAACAAACAAATTCAACCAATGAATTCAAATGAGTAATTTCTTAGACAAAAATTATACTCCTCTATTAAAATTAAGGAAAAACTAAACTAAGAGTAAAAGATTGAAAAATATCAAAACAAGAGTTTCATGTATTTTATATTCAAAATAGAGTACAATAATAATAATAATAATAATAATAATAATAATAATAATAATAATAATAATAATAATAATGTCAATATGATATCAAAAAATGTAATGGGACGATGCCAATATAGAGTATCATAATATCATAGTGAAAAAAAATCCTATTTTGGATTAAAATTTTGAACGTCTATTTTGAAATAAATGATACTCCTTGTGTCTCTAAAAGATTGTCATAGTTTTACTTTTTTGGTCAAACTGTGATACTCTTTGACTGCTGATTGTGAAAAAAATATATTTAGTTAAAATGTAAATTTAATAAAATTGGGTTTATTTTAAAATATAGTTTTACAATAGTATTAATTTTTTATACTATTTAATTATTTTAAATTATACTCCATATTTAATTGATGGTCAAAAAATATCACATGTTAATCAAAAAATCAAATTGTGCCAATCTTTTAGGGAAATAGGACGAGCAAGGGCCTTTCATGGCTTCCTTTTTTGGGACGAGTGGAGTTTACGAGTATTTTATTTGAATTGTGTTAAGAATAAAGATAATAGAAATATTATTATCAAGAACAAGATGATAGAGATATACCTTGATAAGAACACAAATGGAAGATCAAAGTTCAATGGAGAGTGAAAGAGAAAGAATGCAATGAGAGACTAAAGATATGGATCCAAGGAGAAAGAATGGAATAGATATCAAAGAGAATCATCTAGCATTTCAACACATAGAGCCTATATATATATATATATATATATATATATATATATATATATATATATATATATATATAGGCTTACAAAGGGGAAAATCAAAAGTCTAACTTAGACATGGAGAACATCAAAAGACATTTGTACATAACACTCCCCCTTGGATTTTGGATGTTCACCATTTAGGTAGACTTGAGCTTATGACATGCACTGCCTCGTTAAAACCTTGCCAAGAAAAACCCAATGGGACAAAAACTTGGACGAAGGAAAAAGAGTGCATTGCTTATAATGCTCCCCCTGAACATGGCAAAAGATCCTTGAGTTGACGCATTCCAATACCATTGATCATCTTCCTAAATGTCGTAGTTGGCAATTCCTTTGTGAACAAATCCGCTAGGTTATTGCATGACTTTATATGACGAACCTCAATGTCTCCACTTTTCTGAAGCTTGTGCGGATAGAAGAATTTTGGTGATATGTGCTTCGTCTTGTTGCTTTTGATGTAACCACTTCGTCTTGTTGCTTTTGATGGAGCCTTATTCAAAGATAATCCACAAGTTTCTCGAATGTGATGAACCATTGACCTTAACCATGTGCATTCTCGATTTGCTTCATATAGCGCCATTATCTCCGAGTGGTTTGATGAGGTTGCAACTAGTGTTTGCTTTACTGATCTCCATGATATTGCAGCACCACCACAAGTAAAAACATATCCACCTTGTGATTTACCCTTATGTGGGTCAGAAAGATAGCCAGCATCTGCGTAACCAACAACTTGTGGTTCCGAACCTTTTGAATAAAACAGGCCCATATCGGTTGTTCCACGAAGATAACGTAAGATATGTTTAACACCATTCCAATGTCGTCGTGTTGGTGCTGAGCTATAGCTTTCCAACAAATTAACCGAAAGGCTATATCAGGTCTTGTACAATTTGCAAGATACATTAGCGCTCCTATAACACTTAAATAAGGTACCTCCGGACCTAAAAGTTCTTCATTATCTTCTCGATGACGAAAAGGGTCCTTCTTTACATCTAATGATCGAACAACCATGTGACTGCTCAATGGGTTTAATTTTGAACTGAGTACTTTATTCATCATATGTCGGGGTATTTATGCATACACAGAGAGGAGGTAAAGTCTAGGCCAGGTAAACAAGGTAATCAGATATTCTAAATAATAAGAGTAATATATCTACCATATTTAACACTCCCCCTCAGATATATCATCGTTCATTATACACTAACAACATTATGCTACAGAATAATGTTGGCTAGGTTCTTCAGAACCTATATTAATTGATACTGCAGGATCAGTTATGCTGCCTCAGTTATCTGGTCGTGCTCGCTCAGTCAACTTCCAAGAAAAAGTCTTATCACCATATGTGAACACATTACAAATCTAATTTCACCCTTAAAATTTGGTATTGCAGGACCAAGTACTTCTTCGCCCTCTTCTGGGAGGCGATTAGAATGTTATGAATGAATGAACAACCATGGGTATGTTCAAAGGATGAGCTTTATCCATATTTCTACGTGTTAACATCTTCTGGATGTAGTTTAACTTATGGACAAATGTGCCATCATATAGGTGTTTAAAATACAATCCAAAGTATAATTTATGTCATGTCAAGATCTTCCATCTCAAATTCTCTCTTCATGAGTTCAACAGTTTTTATTTGTTTTCTCTATCTCTTCAGGAGATCTAATGATATTTATACGTCGACGTAAACTGCTAAAATAAAGAATATTGAGAGCGATACTTGAATGACAACACATAGATTGATTTCAAATTTGTATACTCCCTCTGTCCA